GAGTCCTTTGGGAGGCACAGAAAGTCACAGTGCACAGGAGCAGCCAGATTGAAAGTGCCATGGGAGCCCAAGGGAGGGGCACCTGGTTCTTTTTTGGTTTGAGGGGGATAATTCTCGGAGAAGGCATCTGCCATGCACCTTGAGAGGTAAAGAGCGAAGGGGCATTCCAAGCGAGGGGGCAGCCTGAACACAGGCCTGGTGCTAGGAAGGGGTGAGGCTATCCTGGAAGGGGTGGGGCGTGGGGGGGAATGATAGACTCCCCCCAGCGGGGGCCTTCCTGCGTGGCCACAGGGCCTCTGGTCATAGGAGACAGACCACTGGGGGAGGGAGACATAGCTGTGTCCCACCCTCACTGTGCTCTTCCTGAACTCTATGGAGACCACTCTCGTCTGGCACTCACCCCGGGACACAGCATGCTTCCCCACTCCCTCTCTGGAGTGGCCTCATCCAGCTAGGCTAGAAACCATGGGGTGATGGGAGGGAGACATCCTCAGGGACTCCCTTAATCTCTTCCATCTCCAGACTGTTGATTACATCTCCCAAGTCTCTCTAGAATCCCTCCTTTCGCCAGGAACCTGCACACACTATGCCCCCGCCCCCCCCAACCCCCACCCCAGGTGAGGCCTCAGCCTCCCTACCTGGCTCCCCACTCTCCCCATCTCCACGCCAGCCCCTCCGTGCACTCTCCACATCACCAGGCTGGGCCCTGCACAGCCTGAGTCTGACGGGGCTCCCTCCCCCCAGGATGGGGAGTAGGCTCCGCAGCACAGCCTTAGGCTCCCCTCCTCACATGGAGCCACACTGAGGCCAAACTGCTTTCGGTTCCCAAACAAGAGCAGCTCTGGTATCCGTGCCTCGAACACTTCCCAGTCCGGCTAGACAGAACTAACTCTCAGACATCAGCTCAGGCAGGCCCTCCCGTAGGCCCTCCTGTCTGGGGCTTTCCTGGGCCTCAGCACTGATCACCCTGGGTGGCCTGGGTGTGTTGGTGCTTGTTGATGAAATAAGGAATCGGTGCATCGCAGACAAGACTGTTGGTGGGGGGCAGGCGGGGGGCATGGAGCTGGGGATGCAAGCGGAGGGCAGCGCACGCAGGCTGTGCCTCCAACTCTGTGGCTCGAATATAACACTTATTTTGCCCGGAGCCTAATCCGTGAGGCGGAGGGGTCACAGGAGCTTAAAACAGCCCTCAGAAGGCAAAGGGAATATAGAAATACAGGAGAGGGCAGCCGGGTGGCTCAGCGGTTTAGCGCCGCCTTCAGCCCAGGGCCTGATCCTCAGGACCCATCAAGTCCTACATTGGGCTCCCTGCATGGAGCCTGCTTCTCCCTCTGCCTGGGTCTCTGCCTCTCTCTCTGTGTGTGTGTGTCTCTCATGAATAAATAAATAAAATCCTTTAAAAAAAAAAAAGAAAGAAATACAGGAGAATTGACAGTCCCTGTCTGTCACCTTCAGTGACTTGGGCTGGCCGGCTCCTCCAGGGTCTGACCTATATGCCTCTTGCTACAAGAGAAGCTGGTTCTGACACGGTGCTGCCTCCCACAGACACACGGTCTTCAGGGGGCCCTGGGGGACAGCCTGAGAACTGTCTCCTGTCCTACCAAGTCCTTAATTGGCAGTATTAGAGTAATGAGTCACAGACAACAACCAATTCATTATCTCCAGTTATAAAAAGCTGCACTTCCCCTTCCTAGCTGTCGAGTGAGCCAGCCTCCTGCTGCCAGGCTCTTCCATTCCCCAGGGGCTGGGGGCAGAACAGGCCATCTCACCTCTCAGGTCTGGTCCTCAGTTTCCTGTTTCCTTATTTGTCCAGAGTGTGTCCTGGGGGTGGAGGGACAGTAAGAGCAAAGGCCTGGAGGAGGTGGGAATGCATCAGGCTGGTGGGGCGGGAAGGCTCAGGCTGGGGGCCAGCAAGGAGGCTGCTAGCTCCTATGCAGAGGAGGGGGCTCCTCTCCATGCCCCAGGATCCACTCCAGTACTGCAGGGCCCGCTTTTATCCCTGGACCTCAGAGGGCTCCTAGTCTGGCATCCGAGCCACTCCCACTCTTGCTCCTGGTCCCATGCTCCTCCCCCCTCCCCCCCATCGGGCAACTTCCCAAAGCTTCCTCCCACCCCTCCTTTCTTCCCCTTCTTGCAAGTTCTCATTTAATCACATACTCCTCCCCTTCTGCCTTCATCCTCCTGAGGCTCCTGTTGTAAAATCCATCCTGGACTTCAGGTGTGACGCATGGCTTAAGCCTTGAGTTCTAACTCATGGGAATCATAGTTAAACCTGCCCCACAGGGGCGATCTTACAGGGCACTGCAAGTAAGCTCTCGGCTCCGGCATACAATAGGTACTCAATGAATGTTAACTGTTACTCTCAGGCTTTATTTCCCAGCCTGAGCAGGATCGTGATGAAACGCTTCTGTGACTTACTGCCAGTCTGTTGCCCCATTACACAGATGAGGATCAGAAAGGTCTGGCTTCACAGAAGAACTTCACCCACAGCTTGTCTGAGTTGGGAGGTGCTGGGGGAGGCTCCCTCAAGAGGACAGGGAGGGGAAGGGTCCCATCCCCAAAGTCAGAGGGGCAGGTGAGGATGAGAAGAGGCACAGGCCCAAAGTTGAAGCCCCTGCCCTTTCTGGGCGCCTTTCCTCTACTGCTTGGCAGTGCTCCTTTCACACCCAACCTGTGCTCCCAGAGCTCCCTCCAGGGCCTGTTTGTTCAGCAATGCTCATAGAGCACCTTCTCTGCATCAGCCCTGACTGTGAGCCCCAGGTGTCAGGCCAGAGAGCCCAGCCCCCATCATGGTCCTCACCTGGCCATCATGGGAGGGACTGGAGAGAAAAAGGGGAGAGGCAGAGACAAAGGGTGAGCAGACTGAAGCTAGAACCCAGGAAGTGGGCGGGGAAGCGGGATGGGGTGAGTGACAGGGAAGGGGGAGGATGCTCTTCCTCAGCAGTGGGTCGCCGGAGGTGAGCTCAGCCCGTTCTGCATTCTGTGAAGGCCCTGACACCCAGAGCTGCTGCAACACGCTCTCCCAGCCAAGCTGGCCTGTGGCCTCCTGCAGCCCCTACTGCCTCTGTTCCATACCTGGCACCCCCCACACAGGCATTTGCAGACAATATAATACTGCTTGGGCTCCTAGTCAGCTCAAAACCGGCTTCAGCCCACCACTTCCTCACCTGGGCCCTGGGCTGGCCTCAGCCAAGATTTATCACTTCCTGACTCTGAAGCCTGGGATGGGTCTGCCCGGGGCCTACTGAGGGGTGTGAGATGTTCTGGGAGCTCTGCCCTCTTCCAGCAGCTACTCGGATGGCCAAGGGGCTTGCTGCTGGGGAGCTCAGCCATCCTCCCTCCAGAGCCGTGGGACCAGCTCCCTCCTAGGGCCAGATCACAGCTTCCGCCCCTCATCGGTGCTCCTGGCTTCTCTTACCCCATGAGAAATGGTGGAGATGACATTAGCTCGAGGGCTTGTTGGGAGAAACATGAGAGTGGCCATGTCAGTGCCCAGGACTGCACGTGGCACCCAGACACTGGGTGCCAGCTGCCTGCCAAGCTCCGGCCTTTCCCGACACGGGGCGGCCCTGCTGTCTGCCCTCTGTCTCTGGGGAGAATGGAGCAGAGTAGCCAAGGAATTCTGAAGTCTTGACCCAACCCCTCCTCCATTTCTCAGAGGGAGAGCCTGAGGCTCCTGGAGCTGGGAATGACTTGACTTAATGACCAGTCACAGCCAGTGCTGTACCAGTCATTCAGTGCCATTAGTGTATGCCATCCACGAGCAGTTCCCTGAGGGGGGGGATGTTTTTGCACAGGTGAGAAAGCTCAAAATCAAGTAGGTACAAGTTGAAGAGGCACAGTTTGGCCTTGAGGCCTGCCTGGCTCCCGATCTCATGGCCTGCACCCCTGTGGGTAGATCCCCCAAATACATAAGACGGAAAGGCTGTGACGGGCAGGGCCAGAGATGGGGAGATTGGGACTGCCACCTCAGCACTGCAGGGACCTGCCCTGTGGCCTTGGGCAGGCCCCTCCTTCCCCCTCGCCTCAGTTTGGCAAGTCCCCTTCTCTGGGTGGGAGTGGGGACATGGTAACATGTCAGATGATGTGCTCACCAGGTGGCACCTGCTTCTCACCACTTGGGGGTCATGAACCTAGGCTCCTGACTCAGGCTAGTGCTCTGTTGCTCCCCAGCATGTGCAGGGAAGGAGGATGGGAAGGCGGATGAGCTTCCCAATCCTCCCCATCCAGAGAGCCTGGTGATACTTGGCTTCTGACCTCAGCTGCCACCCACATCCTTGGCTGCTCCATCCTGTTTCAAGGCTGGCTCAAGGTGGAGTCTGGCTTCTTTGTTTAGACAAGCAGGAGAGAGGAGGAAAGCTGTTTTCCAGGCAGCAAAGCTTTTAGATAAACACTATTTATCTCCCTCCCTTCCCTCCTCAAGGAGTTGGGTTCCTTCAGAGAAGAAACTAGATCCAGCGGCTAACAGTACCCCAGGGACGGAAGCACGGGCTCAGCTCAGGGGCTGGCCTGGGGTGTCAGACATTGAAGGAGCCTTTCTTTATCCGGCTGAGCACCTGCTGCCAGCTCGGACAGGCCCGTGGCTCAGGTGGCGGAGCCCTGGTGCCAGGCCGTGGCCCTGTCAGCTCCCAGGCTCCAGGATGGCCTGGCCCAGTTCCTCACCCTCCCCTCCAGCCGCCTGGCCACCTGCCTGCCTAGCTGCCAGGAAGCTGAAAACTTCTGCTCCTTGGGGGTGAGCCCTTCCTCTTGGGGTGTCCCTCCTGGAGCGCCCCTTTCTGCTCAGACCTCAGGAGTAGCCCAGGACCCATGTGTCAGAGGAGAGTTCACCTCCTCCATCCTGCATTCCGCTGGAATGATCATGGGCCCATTTTACAGAAGGGGAAATGGAACCCTAGGGGGCAGTGACCCATCCAGAGCCACACAGAGATGACAGAGCTGAGACCCTTCCCCCAGGCCCCAGGGCTCCCTAGGTCCTCTGGCCCCATCCCAGCACAGCTTACCGGTGTGGTGTCATCATGGGACCGCTGGTAGCGCTTCCAGCGACAGCCGTAGATGCCGGTGAGGCAGGAGAGGCACAGCTGTGGCTCATAGTACTGCAGGGGCTGGTGTCTCACCATGCTCTTGCCTGCCGCCCTGGCGCCCGTTCCTCAGGCGCCCATGGACGCCCCGGCTGGTCCTGCAGGAGGAAGCACAGGGCCGTGAGGCAGGGGAGGGGCAGGGACTCGGCCCCAGACACAGCAAGAATCATTGTCGCCCAGTTAGGTGCCAGGCCCCCCACAGGGCCCTGCCGCGAGGCCTACACAGAGGCCCGCGCACTTGCAGGTCTCCCAGGACGGTCCCTGCCCTAACAGGGAAGTCACCCCCCAGCCACACTTGCTCTGTACCTGCTGCTGCTTCCTCTGCCTGGAATGCTTTCCCCTTCAAGCTCCACATGGCTCTTTCCTTCCCCTTCTCAGGTCTTTGCTCAAATGTTCTTTTCTCAACCAGACTTTCCCAGGCCACCTTCTATAAAACTGCCAACTCCTTCCCATACTTCCTCAGCCATTCTCGGCTTTATTTTCTCAATCGTGTCCTCCGATGCACTTTATTTAAAATATACCAGGCACTGTCTGAGCACTGTATACCTCGGGGGCAGGTACACGTCCCAAAGCCGTTTGACAACTGAATACACTGAGGCTCGGGGAGAAAGGGACTGTGCCTTGCATGGTGTCAAAGACCTGGCTATGGCCAATCTGAGAACCTGCTCTGGTGTCCCAAGTGCTCATTGCTTTGGGCTCAGCACAGAGTTTCTGCTGTGGTTGCTAGAACAATGAGAGGTATCTTGTGGGCTGAGTTGCTGCCACCAGGAGCAATGGCCTTGGCCCTGTTTGGCACCCTGGAGATGCCTGCTGGGGACTCAGCCACTTGGGGCTAGCATCGGTCAGTGTGACCACCTGACCGCCGGCTAGGGCATCTCATGCACCCGGATGTCAAGCATCATCTGACCCTTGTCGCCACTGTTCTTATCATCCTATCTTACAGGACGAGGACCCTGGGGTTCAGAGCAGTCAAATGATTTTCCAAGGAGTCAGGACTCAAGTCCAGGTCTATGGGACTCCAGAAACTCGAAGCCACATGTTATGTATTGGGTCCCGTCCTAGGTGTTGGGAGACAGTGTGAATGGGACAGGCTCACTGATGTCCTCAGGGCCCCACAGGACCAGTGAGGGACAAAGCCAGTCACTTACTGTGCACCAACTCTTATAGTGACCCTATGAAGTATTATATTTTTACTGAGATCACACTCACCAGCCAAGAAATTCACCCTTTTAAGGGGTGCAATTCAGTATTTAGCATATTCAGGTTTTAGTGTGGTCATGAAGTTGTACAACTGTCACCACTGTCTGATTCCAAAGTGTCTTCATCATCCCAGCAAAACACCCAGACCCAGACCCATTAGCACCACCCATTCCCCATCACCACACCCCGCACCCCAGCCATGCCCCCTCCTAATGTACTTTCTGAATCTATGGATTTTCCTGATTCTGGACATCTTGTATCACTGCAATCATACAATATGTGACCTTTTGTGTCTGGTTTCATTCATTTAATAGTATTCGAGGCTCACTCTATTGTAGCAAGAGTCAGTCCTGCATTCCTTTTCAGGGCTGAGTTACAATTGCATGAAGAGACCATTTTATCCATTCATCAGTTGAGGGACATTTAGGTTGTTACCACTTTTTTAGTTGTTAGGACTAACACTGCTAATGCACAGGTTTTCACATGAACATATTTTCATTTCATTCTTGGGTACATTCTTTGGAATGGAAGTACTCGGTCATGTGGCAACTCCATATTTAACCTTCTGAAGAATGGCCAAGGGCCGTTTTGCCAAAACAGCAAAGCAGCTGCACCATTTTACATTCCCCGTGTAAAATCTTTATCACCCTCACTTTCCAGATGGGAAATCTGAAGCACAGAAAGGTTTAGCCATTGCCAAAGGTCACACAGCAGAGCCTGTCAGTCCAGCTCCAGGGCTGTGCTCTAAACCCAGGGTTGGCAAATTATAACTCATGCACCAAATCCGGCCGGCCACCTATTTTTGTATAGCCCACAAGCTAAGAATGGTTTTTCTGTATTTTTACAGTTTGGGATAAAAAAATCAAAATAAGAATATTTCGTGACACATGAAAATTATATGAGTCAAATTTCAGTGTCCATAAATAAAGTTTTATTGGATGCAGCCACGATCATTTGTCTATGTACGTCTATGGCTACTGTAACAGAAACTATAGTGGGGGGGGACTGGTTATAACAGAGACTAAATGGCCCACAAAGTCTAGAACTCTCTGCCCAGTCCTTGGTGGGGGCAGTGTGCTGACCCCTGCACTAGCGAGCTGGCCATAATGGCTCATGAGCTGGTATCTTGAAGAGGTAACGGCAGGCTGTGGGCACTTAGCATTGTGCATGTTGGGTCAGGACATGCTTCCAGGAGGCAGCAGGGAGTTGAGGGCTGTCTCTAAGTGCCCCAGGGGCTCCTCCAGGAGTCAGGCTGGGCTCCAGGTCCACCCACTACTTCCGCCTTGGCCTCACTCAGGGCCTCTACCTACCCCCATCCCCACCCCATCCTCCACCAAAGGTTAACCTCAGCACAGAGATTACAGCCTCTGGACAGTAGGAGGGGAGGAGACGCATTAGGGCCTTGCTGGGAATATTGACTGACTCGGAGCATCCTAATTGCTGGGAATTGTCTGGTGTAGCCTCTGTGCCCGTGGCTCCCTGGGGAGGCCTGTGGACTACGGTGCAGCTGCTGGGGCCTCTCAGAGCCAAGCTGAGCCCCGGGCTTAGGGGCAGCATGGGATGGTGTGCTGTTGCAGTCTGGTGGCTTAGGTCCCATGGGATTGGGGAAAGGGGAGAAAGAGGGGCAGTTTTGGGGGGGCTCTCTGCTTTCCTCTATTGCACTCCAGAATATTGCACTCCAGAATTGCTCACAAATGTACTCCCACATTCACAGCCTTCCAGACGGGGTAGAAGGCCAGATCCCACACAGCCAGGGAGCCAAATCTTACCCCACCTTTGCTCTGTGGTTGGGGCCTCTAGGGTTCTTCCCTGATCCTTGGTTTCTCAATCTGTAAAATAGGTAACAGCCTCTGCCTTGACTCCTATAGGAGACCAGATTATTGGAGGGGAGGGGTTGCCTGGAGGGCACATCCCTGCAGTGACTGAGGTATAGCAGGTGGGCATTCTGTGAACAGGAGCCCCACACCAAGGTTCCCCCGTTCTCACGAGCCTTTCCCAGAACCTGCCGAGCCTGGGACTGATTCCCATATGTCCTCAGCCCTCCGCTGCCCCACCCCCACAAATTGAGCATTACAAGGCACCAAGAATGGAAATTCCATCTCAGATCAGGGAAGCAGAACTGCCTGCACTAGGCCGCAGCCCTGGGCTCAGCTGATCTCGGCTCTAGGAGTCGCCTCCCCTCTCCACCCCCACCCTGCCCAGTGAATTTTCACACTATTCAGAACTGCAGGGACGTCTTGGGGAGGCAGACCTCTTCTCCCTCCCCTGCATGTTCTCCTGGGGCTTTTTCATCCACTCCCAGGGCTTCAGCTATCAGGTGTGGCCAAGCCCACTCAATATCTGCCTCCCGACCGAGGCAGCCAGCGGCTCCTGGGGTGTCATCCAGACTCTACAGACCCAGTACAGACCACATGGACCTCCTTACCCCGCAGCCTGCTTCTAACACCCCTCACAGCCTCTTCTCACCAGCCCCTTGGCCATTGGCCTGGCCTGGGTCTCATCTCTCCCTTAGATAGGCAATCCTCTGGCCTCCCTCCGGGGGCCCCAGCCCACCTCACCTGTGGCCCTTGTGAGCTCTTCAACAGGCAAATGGCCAGGATGTGGCCTCTGACACTTCTAGCCTCACCCTCCAGAACCTGCTGTCCCTTCTGTTGATTAACACCTCTCCATGCTTCAAGTCTCAGCTCAGATGTTACCTCCTCCAGGAGCCTCCCCTGAGCTCCAGGTTTGCTTCCAGGGTTTCCCAGCTTCCCCTGGCCCTGAGCATCCCGCAGTCCACCCCAGGCACCCCGTGTGAGCGCGGCTGACGGGCCTGCCTCCCCCATGGAGTGGCCTCGGTTATTCCCATGCCCTCAGTGGCCAGCCGCAAGAGGAGGGAGCACTGGGGACTCACGGGACTATACTTCTGAGGAGGCCCGGAAGTCCTGCTGACAGAGATGTGCCGTTCAGACACTGAGCAGTCGGACAAGCTCCCAGAGACCGGACTCTCCCCGGTCTCGCCCGAAACCTCCTCTTCCTGCCAGGGCTAATGACATTACGCAGGACTGCTGGATTTCTCCAAGCCACCTCCAGGACCACTGGTATCCGCCAAGTTCCCAAGAAATCCTGAGCCGGGAGCTCCTCCTGGCTCTGGGGTAAGAGAAAGCCCTCCCCTCTGAGCCCGATGTTCAAGGGTGCCCCTCAGTCCAGAGTTCCATTTTCTGTAAGAATTCCTGGCCCTAGCCCTAGGATTTCACAGACTCCTGTTTTGTAGATGAGAGAGCCTCCAAGGAGTCGGGCCTGGGATGGAGTGAACACCTGCCATGGAGCAGGAGCAGGATGCTGGCCCTCCTGGGTCCTCTCCCATCCTGACACCCTGGGTATGGACCTTCTCCTTCCTTGCATGACCACCCTCACTGCCGCGGACCATGCTGGCTGTGGCCCCCAAGCCTCTTCACTTCCCTGAGAGTGGAAAGAATTTCAGGCCAGGTGTCAGACCCCGGGTTCCAGCCTGATCTTCAGCTGACTTGCTGTGTAACCTCAGACAGGTCACTAGCTCTCTCTGAGCCTCTACTCACCTGAGAAATGGGGACCAGATGGAGTGACACAAAAAAGGACCCAAGCAAGGGCGCCTGGGTGGCTTAGGCAGTTAAGCATCTGACTCTTGATTTTGGCTCAGGTCATGATCTCAGGGTCATAAGATCGAGCCCTGCACTGAGCTCCACGCTTGATGTGGAGTCTGCTTGAGATTCTCTGTCTCCCTCTGCCCCTCCCCCTGCTTGCTCTCTCACTCTCTCTCTCTAGTCTTTTAAGAAATGTTTTGTAATTAAAAAAAAAGGACCCAAGGTTGCAATAAGAAGAAATAAAACATGAATATATGCTACAACATGAATAAATCTTAAAAACATGGTGCAGAGTG